ATTCACTATACTGTGCTTAGATAAGAGAGTGATCGAGAGAGAGAGAGAGAGAGAGAGAGAGAGAGAGAGAACCTTGATAGTGACACCTGCTGGAAAAATCCCTGTGACCTATATAGTCTTCATTCAGAGAACCAAAGAGCCAAGCAATGGGGGTCAACGTTCCATCTCGGTCTAGAAGACCTGTGCTAGATGGAAGCCTGCCAGGTCTTGGGGCTTAGACTGTGAGTCTGAAGGGAGTCAAAAGGATAGTAGGGGAGACAAATATACTCTGTATGCTATAAAGGACTCCAGGAAGAGACTAAGATGGAGCTTTTAACAGCTACAAAATAAGGAAAGGATGTTTCATTCTAAAGTCTTGGGGGACCAGATCTTTGAACATAATTTTCTATTGGACAAGACCCTCAGTAGGTATAGAGAGATACAACCTTTATGAAATTAGAGTAGAAAGACTCAGGGGTGAGATGGAACTACAACTAGATGAGATAAAAACTGGGATAGTGAGATCGGGAAGGATTACAATAAAATTATATATGCAACAGAAATATTAAAATCACCAGTGAAGGAAAAGTCATGGAAAAATATAGCAATAATGTAGAAGACAAATAGAGAAGTTCTTTGTTCTGAGTTGTTACTTATACCCCAAGTTTTTGCTATATCCTCAGATTATTCATCCATTAGAGTGTTATCAATGATTTCAACTTTGACTAACATGGACACACACACACACACACACACACAGAGAGAGAGAGAGAGAGAGAGAGAGAGAGAGAGAGAGAGAGAGAGAGAGCACCTTGATAGTGATACCTGCTGGAGAAGTCCCACCTGAAACATCTAAAAATTGGAAGAAAACATGAAACAATAATTCCTAGGGCATTAATAACATGTAACAGCAAATAGTGATTCCTGAGAAGATGGAAAACAAATGAAATGAACCCTACAACTGTCACATCTTACTATTTGGAAAGAATTCCTGGGCTGTGCTAGGGGAGGGGAAACCCAGGCAGACCTGGCTGTCTCTCTGAGCTGAGATGGGGTTGGGAGAATGGAGAGCCCAAAGTGGCAGAGGACATACAGCAGAATGTTGGAGCAGAGGAAACTTCACAAGAGAGAATTTCAGACATATATAGAAGGTCCCCTTTGTAGAACAGCATTGTTACTCTCAATTTTTCAGCTGAGTGGTAGTTAGCGCTATGGTGTGAGGAAGCTCGCTAGCTACCTGAGGAGGGAAAAGAACCGGGATTAGAAAAACAAGCTCTGCAATGCAAGGAGAATCAGGAATAATGTCTATTCCCATCATCTAGGTAGATAACCCCAGTAACCCCCAAATCATCAGCAGAGGACTCAAGAGTTTTTCCTTAATAGTGAAGCAATATTGGCCTTTCTGTTTCTGCCCAAGAAACTTAAAGCTAGACCTCCCCTACCAAATTATTTTCAAGTAACCTAACTATACCCCAAAACAAATCTGTCAAAATGCAAAAATATATGGTACTTAACATTTAGAGAAGGAATAACACGAATTCTACAGAAATCCTCCTAGAAAATTTAAGAGGTAGAAATTCTACCCACTTTATTAGACCAGCATTATTCTAAAGCCAAAATTGAAGAGGATACAAGAAAAGAACATGCATATCAATGAACATAAGTAGGAAGTTCTTAATACAGCTTTAGCAAATTGAAGCCAAAGAAATTAAATGAGACCAAAAGAAATAAGGAGGTAGGTTATGTTCAAGGATTGGAAGCCCCGTTATGTTAAATGGTAGTTCTTTTTGATCTTGAGTTAGGGAAAGATTTCTAAGATATGATACCAGAAGCTCAATTCATAAAAGACAGAAAATTATGAATTGGGTTTCATAAAAATTAACTATTTTTCCTTCAAAGATAGAGAATGAGAAGACAAGTCACTGAGAGGGAGGAAATATTAGCAAATCACAATACCTGGTAAAGAACTTGTATTCACAATATGTAAAGAACTCTTAAAACTCAATGCAGCCCAATTTAAAAATGGGGAAAAGAGTTGAACACTTTATTAAAGAAGATATACAGCCGGCAATTAAACATATGAAGAGATGTGCAACATCATTGGTCATTAGGAAAATGTAAACAAAAAACCACCATGAGATACCACCACATGCATAGAAATAACTAAAAATAAAAAGACTGTCATTAGCTGTTGAGGAGATGGAGCAACAGAAATTCTCACATATGGCTATTAGATATGCAAAATGGTTTGACCACTGTGGAAAGAGTCTAAAAGTTTCCTATAAAGTTAAATGTATACCAGTACCTACTATATTAGACCATTCATTCTATTGCTTGCTATTTACCCAAGAGAAATGAAAGTTGTCCTAACAAAGACTTGTACAAGAATATTCATAACAATTTTATATGTAATAAGAAAGAAAAATGTCCATCCATAGATGAGTGGATAAACAAATTGTGGAACATCTATATGCTAGAGTACTAGTTAGCAACTAAAATATTCATACACACAAATGGATAAAGCTCTAAATTATTATGCTGAATGAAACAAGGCAGACCAACAAAAGTACATGGTATAGAATTCAGTTTATATAAAATTCAGATGATGCAATCTAACTATATAGTGACAGAGAGCAGATCAGAGCTAGGAGGTGGGAGAAAGGAAATATAAAGAAAACTTTTAGAGATCATGAATATATTCACTATATTGAAAATTGTACTGATTTTTACAGTACATGTCAATTTAATCATGCACAATATATATACATGTGCAATTTATTTTATGCCAGTTTTACTTTAATAAAACTTTTTCTAACTTGATTACAGCCTTTCCTGAAGATCCTTGCATCACTAGAGCTATGCGTGGATATTGAGCCATTGTTCTAAATTGTTCTAGTTTTCATTGAGTTTAGTGTTCACTCCTGCATGGAGATGCTGTGACACTGTCCCATTCCTTTCCTTCCTCCTTATGTCACCTTATATGAAATATCCCTAACCTATGTCCACCTGAATATATCCCTCAGGTCCCACCAGTAAAAAACAGTCAGTGTCCTTTTCCAGATCACAGAGGTTCTTTCCTGGTGCCATCATAAATCCTTTCATGTGAAGGTTCTTGGGTGGCCCTGCCTGGTTCCACTTTCTTCCCTAGTCTCTGAATTGTTTATTTCCTTCCATTTGGAGAGTGTAGCATAGTGAAAATAGAACCAGGCAGGAAGCAGGACAGGGATACTTGTACTGCATTTCTGCTAACTTTTGTATGATTTCGCACAAATAAGCTTACTCCCTACAGCCAACCTTGCTATCTTCATCTATCAGAGGAGAGGCTTGCATTAAAATTGATGCTTCTCCTAAGTCTTGAGTGACAGAAAATTTTTTGAATACAGTGTTAAGTGAAAAACAAATCTTGATCCAAAATTATATACACAGTTTGATCCTGATTCTGTAAAAAAGTATATGGAAAAATCCTACAAGGAAATCTCTCTCTCTCTCTCTCTCTCTCTCTCACACACACACACACACACACACACACACACACACACACACGCACACATAATTGCATCGTTGTATTTTTGTTGCTTCTTTTTGTTTATTTTTAAGACAAATTTTAAGAGAAGTTTCAGTTCACAGTGAAATTGAGGAAGGTACAGAGATTTTTTGCACACCCCCTGCTCCCACATATGTGTAGCCTCCCTCCCATGTATCCAAGGTCCCTCACCATAGTGGCTGAAACATTTGTCGATGAATCTATATTGACACATCATTATCATCTGAAATCGATAGTTTGTTTACATTAGGGTTCACTCCTGTTGTTGTACATGCTGTGGATTTAGATAAATGTGTAATGACATGTATCCCCCATTGTCACGTCATATGGAATAGTTTCACTGCCTTAAAATTCCTTTGTGCTTTGCCTATTTATCCCTTCTTCTCCAACTTCTAACAACCACTGATCTTTGCTGTTCTCTTTTCTTTTTTCATACTTTTCAAATTTTCTATAATGTAAGTAAACTATTTTTATAATTGAGGAAAACTAAAAACAATAGAACAGAAACTCTCCAAAATAGGGCTTTCCCTGAGACTTCAACATTCTGAATTGCTGAAATACCTCAACAGCATAAGAAACTATATACAACCCAGGAAACTATAGCTCTTCATTTTGCCCAGGTCCTTCTTGAGCTGACATCATGACAATGACAGATTGAGCCAATGAGTGGACTTGGTGAAAGGCCATCCTAAGTGCCTTATGGAGACAAACATGCACTCACTAGCTCTGGAATGAATAACCTGAAGAGGGTTGTGCTAGACCTGAGCTTGCAGACTGATCTGATAGGTGAGAGGTCATAGCAAAGAATCTAGTTTCTTCCTCTGGCTTCTGCCTGTGAACCAGGAAAGGGCTGGGATTCTCAACAGATGGTCTAATCTCTGGTGATTCCAGAACTTGGCTCCTCCCTGCTGGCAGAGGCCCTCTGTGTGGCATCTGCCTGGCCCTGATTCTTGTTTCTGAAGAACAGGGGCATTTAATTAAGACATCGATTGAAGGGGGCCTAGCAGAAAAACAATTTTCTCCTTTAAACCTCAAGTCTCAGAAAAAAAGATGAAAAAACAATAACAACAACAACAACAACAACAACAAAAACAAACAAACAAACAAAAAAACAATGTTATACATCCCCCCTGGGCCAAGAATCTGATAATTGGCCTTTCATGATTTGACCACATGATTTTCTCCATAAGCAAGGAAAATGGCACATCACAAATCACTTCTCCAGGAGAAATCTTTGGAAGTTTCTCTTTTAGCTCTATAATGATGTAGCTATTTAAAATAAGCATGGTGGGTCCATAAATCAGCCAACTTCCATTATGGTTATCCACTATCTTTTCTCAAATATCACATAATGGCTTCTCTGCTGTAAGTTCTTCCTTGATACCTCAAAATCTTCAGCCACTAAAACATATCTTACCCAGAAAATTCCAAACTTCAAGAATGAAATGTAGTTTCTCCCTTATTCCTCTTGAGGTACCAGATACTTGGACTAAAAGAGTCTCTGGGTAAAGAGTCTGGGACAAGGTGTTTTTCACTATTGTTTTTCTTTTTAGGAGTTTAAAATCCCAAAACTTTTTTTCTTACTATGAGGATGATTTCTGTCAGAATATGTCTTCTCTATTCCATGTAAGACTTATTTATGTCCTAAGTCCATTTTATCAAGGGTCTCTGGCCTGAACATGGGTGGCAGAATGCTGAGCAGGTATGTTTGAGACTACACTTTTATAAGGTGTTATTCTATAGTGGTCCCCAAAGGCATCAGGAAACACTCATGCTCTTCATCCTTGCTCTCTGAGGCTCCATGAGCAGACTGCAATTTAAAAAGCATACAATCGCAGAGGCCCCTCTCCTTTCCAAACCATGCTCTACTCCCAGTAATAGTGAAGTTTTAAAAATCTCATCTCTCCTTTAGTGTTACAATGAAAATTTCAGAATCCTTCTAGTTTTCCTTTTAGGTGTGACTGGAATAAAGACTAAAACTATACTTAGTCCACTTAAAGAAACTATATTCCTGGATCTCTGTAACAATTAGTTCTCTTTCTTCTTCAGTTGTAGTATCTCTTATCTGTCTTGCGTATATATATAAAGAATATAATAAAACCACACTCTTATTCCCTAGGCACATCCCAAGTGCTTGATCATGTACCTATATTTTCTATAAAATAAAATGTACAGCAAACAAGGTTCAACTCTCTTAGGTTTATATTTGAAGCTTCAGGAGCAACCTGGGAGAAAGAGTCCATGAGAACAGGATGCCCAGCTGACACACTGGTGGACTGAGGATGCAGACTAGACTGAAGGAGAGTTTGGCAGACCATGATGAGTTAAGAATAGAATATACTTCTGTAAGGCGGTCTGAATCATAATGGCTAATACTGTTGAACTGAAGACTAATGTTATATGTGTCAGGCACTGTTCAAAGCATTCACGTATCTAACTCACTTAATCTGCATATGAACTCATATTATCATTTCATTTTACAAATGGGACACCAAAGCATAAAGGCATTGTTCAAACATGCTCCCCTCCCTCCCCCCAGTTTCAGAATTAGGTAATGTCAGAGCTGGGAATCAAACACAGGCAGTCTGACTCTGAAGCCAAGATTCTTGACCAATATGCTCTATTGCCTGATAAAACTTAGGTTGACAATGACCAGGAAATTTGTATTGGACATGAGGATGGAAGTCAAAGATGGTAATCTTTGTTTCTTCCAGTTTTCTCAGGAGCTTCTTGCCTTGGGTCTGGGCCTGTTAATAGCACAGAGAAATGGCTTTCTACTGATAAGTGTATCAAGGAAGATTCCATCTGTCACAGCCCAGGGGAGGGCCTGTGAACAGCAGGCACTACAATAGCCCCATTAAGCATATAGCCCTCATCGTTCTTCCAGGAAATAAAAATAATGGCACCTTTACAGAGCAGTAAAACAAACATTAGGCACCTCAAAAGAAACCACTGCTTCCTCTCTCTTATATAATCTTGTCATATATAATCTCTTAGAGCCTCTGTTCCTCATGTGTGAAGTGGTATGATTATGATGATTAGAGGAATATGTAATAAAAAGGTATATGGCATATATATCTTCAAAACAATTATAGCTGGATTCCTCTTGTTAAATTTATTAGCAACTCTCCAATTTATATAACCAAATGTGTAAATTATTTATTGTCAAAAGTCAATCATGGGCTGGGGTTGTGGCTCAGTGGCAGAGTGCTTGTCTTGCATGTATGAGGCACTGGGTTCAATCCTCAGCACCACATAAAAATAAATAAAAAAAATAAAGGTATTGTGTCCATTAACAACTAAAAAAATATTTTTAAAAAAGTCAATCAGGGCATACTTCCACTCTTGCTATACCCTCTTCATCCATCCACTGATAGAATCACCTGTATCTCAGCCTTTGAGCCAACCCTGTGTGTGTGCACACCCAGGAAAGCACACCCACCCTTCTCCTGAGAATGCTTGCTGTCTCTGGGCAGGCAGACCTGTCAGAGGTAAACATTTGATCCAGGACAAGTGAAACAAGAACCTTTATCTAATCTTGGAATAGCAGAACATTCAAATGGCAAGAGCCCCAGAGATGAAGGTTCTGAAGGCAACATAAGGAAAGATCTCTTTTAGCTATACAATTGTGTGGAGACAAATTGGGCAGTTAGGTATCCTTGCTCTACCCAAGGATGAGTATTCCCCATTTCTTCCCCAAATCTTATATTCCAAAGACTCACCAGTATCAGGGGCACAGGCCTCGTCTGCTTTAGCAGCATTATCTGCATTCTGTACATTAGAATCTGAGAAACAAAAAGAGTTAAAGGTCACCTTATGCCTTCCAGCTTCGTACAGAGAGATAGGGGACCTTCCCACGTGAAATGTTCATTCAGATTCTGTCTCTGTTCCTGGGTTACTTTCAGTTTGGTTCATGCTCATTGATTGGGGTGGGCTGTCTCCCCTCTTGCAGCCCAAGCTCCAGGAAGATAGTAGCCATGCCTTCTCCTTCCTACGCTAGTCCTACCTGGACATGGGCTGAATATGCTCCATTTATAAACTAGAACCTTTGCTGAGGGCTTTTTTTCCTACTGCCACTTGTTAGTCTGTGTTCTCTCTTCCCCCCATCCTACCCTCCAATCCTAAGGGGCAGGAATTATTCTCATCTTTATTCCTCTTAACAAGGGAGTCATCAAACAGGACTTCCTGTAAGGTCCTACAAGAAAGGAGTCCTGGTCCCTTGATCCTCATTCTCACCCCATGGGGAAGTTACTATGCGCAGGACACCCTTTCGAAATACAGATTTGTGTTTGTGACAAGGTCTTTGGAACTGCTTCACATCCTCCCACCTTGGGGAAAACTGGTCCATGTACCTGGGCCACTGGGCTCGCTGCTGCTGGCTCCCTCCTTTGGGTGGTCAGGAGTTTCATGTCTGGGCTTCTGACTGAAGGCCAGGAAGAGGTGGGTGCTCAGGGGCTGAGGAAGGTCTACCTCCAGGTATGCTCTCATGAACAGCTTGAAGACATCATAGCTAACTGGCTGAGAAGGACAGAAAGAAAAATCAGTGGAGGGAAGTGAAGGAACAGGGAGGAAGGAAAGATGGAAAAGGAAGCAGGAAAATTGCTGAGGGCCATTGCCAAGTAGGAATGACGCATCGATATTTCCTTGCCAGTGTACCCCATGTTAAATGGACTTGCCTTGGACATTGCATGTGTCTTTGAGAAAGGTGACACTGCTCAAGGACCAGGGTGCATCCAGGATTAGGGTGTATCCTGCAGGTTTTAGGAAGTATCCAGGTTTAAGACAATTTGGGTTTAGGGCGTTCCGGGTTTAGGGAAGTTGCAGGTTGAAGGTTATTCCTGCTGGGAGTAGGGCGTGCCTGCTGCCTGAGTTCCCGCTGTGTTCTCGTGAGATTTAAATGGGATTTGGAAAAAAGCCTCATGGAGTAGGTGAATTGGGTTGGGAGAACTAGATTTCCCCAGAACGTGTTTGTAGACGGCCAGTGTGAGTTCGGGAATAAAGAATTGCTGTTTGAACCTACAAAGCTGTGTGGTGGCTCGTGATTCAGTGCCAAGCCGAGACATTGGCAGAAAATGGTCGGTGAGACAAATGGAGAAGGAAGCGAAGGAAGTAGAGGTGATGGGGACAGGAGTCAAAGGGCCAGGGAGGTGACAGAGAATGACAGGCCTAGGGAGCAGGAGGTGGGAATGGAAGAAAACACGGGCACAAACACATCGGGGCTCAACGGGGCACCAAACCAGAGTGGGATTATGTAACAAGATAGGATGTGGCCTAAATTTGGATAAAAAGTGGGTAATCGAGTGCGCTCTGGAGGTGGAGGGCTCTGCCTTTGTCTGGGAGGAGTATGGCTTTAGAGAACAGGGTCTCGGAGAGTGCCTTGGAATCCCAGCTAAGAGGAAGAAGGACTCAGTTGAAAACATGATGGAAAGAAATGGTTCCTCTGTGGTATCTCGAAGGATGTGATTCCTCAGTATTCAGGTTTCAGAAAATAGGATAGATCAGGAAGAGAAAAGGACAAGCTCTATCCTTCATTACTTTCATCATTCTAATCTTCCCTGGGAAGATCCCAAGATGACAGGGGATTGTGTGTGTGTCTGGCTCAGCTGCTTCTCGAAACATGTCCTTGGGAAGGTTTTAGGCACCAGGAGAAGAGTAGGAAGCCAAGGACAGAAGGTAGAACCAAGAGACATGCCAAAAACTAGACCCTTTCCCTGCTGCGTCTCTCCTGGTACCGCCTGGCTTCTGGTCCCAGGCCGAGAGCATCCGTGCCAGAAAGAGCTGCTGCACTCAGCAAACACTCAACAACAACAACAACGACGACAACAACAGTGTGCAGTGAGTCATCACTGGCTGTGCTTTCATGGCATCAGATTCTTCATCAAATCGGCAGATGCTCCTGGAAATCAGCCTAGGAAGCACTACTTCAAAAATCTGCTGTGCTGGTTTTTGTGAATAATAACAGCCATGAGAACAAAATCCCCTTGGGGGGAGCCTACTTGGTGCTCCCATCCAAATGTTGACCCCTCGTTCACCCTGGGAGCTCTGGGAGCCTTCTCAGAACCAGGAGCTGACTTGTATGTGAATGGTCAAGTTTAGGTTCCAAGTCTTGGCCCTACAATCCAATGATCCCTACCTACCCCACTAGGAGCTCATCCAGCAATTTGTGTTTAGCTCCAGGCAGGACTGTTCTAGAGATCTCCTTTGCTGGGGGGAAGAAAGCTGACCGTGTTAGATAAAGAATAAGGAAACCAAGCACGTGCAGATTTGCATTTATTGTGACAATTATCCATCTCTGTCCCTTTTCTTTTCTGGAGTCTGTGTCTCCCTGGTTCCCGCTCTTTCTGTGCCTCTCTATCTCCACAGCCACATCACCTCAGAATGTCCCTTCTTCACACATCCTTCTCTTTTTTTCCAGTACAAAATCTTCTCCTCCTACTTCTGAGTATGACCAACCCATGGTGACCCCTGCTTCCACTGGTTGCATGTCCACCTCTGGTTGCATCTTCCAGCATTTGCTTGACTTCTACCAGCAAGCTTGCTCACGTCCACCGTTCTGAAGCGATCGCTGTCTGCTGGAACTAGTAGAGCATCTTTCTTACTCTTTCCTTCCCACTTCTCCAAAGAGACCATGTTAGCCCCCCTTACCGCTTTCATCCCATTCAGTTTGGGCGCTAGCCCTTTACCTCTGAACCTGCTGTCTTAGAGGTTGTATATTCAAACATATTTTTTTAAGACTTTCTAATTTTTTGGTTTCTTGACAGCATTTCAATCTTCCTTGTTGAAACTCTGTTTTCTGTTCTATTTTGGTTCTCTTCATTCTCTATTTTGATTTGATGGAATATTTGCTAATGGCGTTCATTAACTTGTTTCAGAAAGCTCTTTGCATTGTCTTTTCACACTATTTTAATTGACAGGACTGTTTTAAGCTGTAGTTTTGAATCCCAAAATGTACTGTTAATTTCTTGGTTAATAGTTTTGAGAACTATTGAAATGATGTATTTCTGGAAAACAGATTGTACTAAATGATTTAACAAAAAGCTAGTTTGGTTAGACAAATTCTAACATTAGGCTGGGAAAAAACAAAATAAGTGTGAGACTCAGGATACCTGCTGATGGTCTCAGATCTATCACATTCTTTGAGCCCCAGTTTCTCTTTTCAACAAGGTAAGGTGGCTGGCTAGAAGATCTCAAGTTTTAAACTTTAGCTTCCTCCCTAAACTAGCCAACAACAGAAATTCTCCCGACATTCTAGACTCAGCTTTGAACTCTCAATGACCTAAGACTAGTTATGGTCCCTTCCTCTGTCCACTGTTCCTTGGTAATGTCTGTCATATCTGAACCTTTCCCATGTCTGTTGCTCCTGCTGCCATCACCAGTTTCTGACTTGTTTCATGAACCTTACTGGGACCGCTGCAATACCTCTCTAGTGTTTCCTTCCTCACCTCCATCTATTGGTCCTCCTGTCTGTCTATTCATGCTTGCCAGGTTGACTTCCTAAAGTGCGACTCTGATAAGATTGCTTCCCCACTCAAAATAATCCGTGACTTCTATTTTTTAATTTTTATTTTTTTTTGTAGTTGTAGATGGACAGAATGTGGTGCTGAGGATGGAACCCAGTGCCTTATGCATGCTAGGCAAGTGCTCTGCCACTGAGCTACAGCCCCAGCTCCCCAAATTTTCTGACTTCTAATTGCCCAAGAAAGAGTTGCAATCAGTTGATGTAATACTGTGCGTCTGTATTACACATCATAAAATACATGCAAAAGGAAACTAGATGAAATAAAAATGAATATAAATAGGAGACCTAATAAGTAGTGTTTCTATGATCCAATGGATCATTCTGTGGAGTTTCTGAGAACTTGGGATTCACAGCCTCCTGTATAATCCACTCCAATCAGAATTTGTAGCTCTCAGACCATTCTGGTATTTTCTCCTATCATTCCCTATGTGTAATTAATTATGCACTCTGTTCATGCTGGTCTCTGGGTTCTTTCCTGGCCAAGCCTCTATGAACTTCACTCAGCATAAACCACTTCTTTCTCCATCTATCATCATTTTAGCCAGGCTTTAAGGCCCAATCCAGCTACCACTTCCTCCTGGAAGCCTGACAGGCTCTCCTGTACCTGAATTCCTACACTTTAAACCCTGGTTCCTATTTTGTGACACTTGTATATACTGCTCTGATTAATCTAGTTATCTGTGACATATCTTACTTTTTGTACTAGATATAGAGTTCCTAGAAGGTAAAGATGCTGAGGTATCTGTTGTTATTTCATTATTATATTCCCTAAACCACCAATCATGGTGCCTTGATAGGTTTTTGAATGGATGATGGGTTCGTAGTTGGTGCACTTCAAGAATGGCCTTGGGCCTGGGCTGAGTACCAGTGCAGAACACACCATTGAATCAGACATAGGTTCACACCTTCAAGAGACACGGTGTTACATATACCATAAAGATATTGAAATAATAATATATGGTTAGAAGCGGTGAGTTCCATGAGAACTGAGAAAACAATAATGATGGAACTCATGCCCATTTATTCACGTCCCTATCCCGGGGATCAGAATGGCATAGAATAAATGGGGGGACACAGAATATTCAAACCAGAAAAGGCTCAGAGGGGACTGGGACTCCTCATGCCATGCAGGCTCAGGAGATTCAGTGATTTGCCCCAGCTAGTTAGTGGCAGAGTAAAACCTGAAGCCAGATCTTTACTGTCTCTGTTACAGATTCCAGGGTTGGCAAAGTTCTACTTGTCATTCCCTGCAAGAACCATAAGTTCAGTAAGTCACTGCATGCCATCCTCAAAGGGATATCTGGGTTACAAGAAAATTGTTGATAAGCACAGGTGAGGGTCAGAGTAGCTACCTAGTAAATGCAGAATGTGTGAGTGGGAGGGGGTAGCTTGGTATTATACCCAAACTACCTAACAACACTAGGAGGTCCACTGGCAATTCTTGGAATGCCATGGGAATGTCACTACACCCTCATTGTCAGGTCCAAGGAACTCTGTTTTTCCCCCAGCAGCAGCAAATTCCATGTAGGAAGCAGCTGGGCAACTGCAGCTGTTGCAACTTATTTCCAAGAGAACAGGTTCATCTTACCCAGGTGAAGAAGGGAGAAGACTGAGAGAGAGAGCTCATCAAGCATGGGACTTGAATTCTCAGGATGACATGCCAGCCAGACTCTTATTATCATTTTTTGGATAAAACAAATTCTGAGGGCTGGGGCTGTAGCTCAGTGGTAGAGCACCTGCCTTGCATATGTGAGGCACTGGGTTCGATCCTCAGCACCACATAAAAATAAATAAAGATATTGTGTCCATCTACTAAAAAATTTTTTTAAAACCCCACAAATTCTGACAACATAAATAACTTGGTCAAGATCACAAATATGTGACAGAGCTGAAATTTGGGCTCTGGTGTGTCTTGAGTCTAGGCTCACAGTATCACCAAGCCACTTGCCTATTTTGCTCTGCTGGTTTTGAGCCCTCTCTAGCTGTCTGTCACTGGTCTAGCTTCCAGAGGATCTATGGTGCTGATAGGCAAGGGTACATTCATGATGGCCAGATACAGCCTCACACTATTCTGTCAACCTGGACTCCAGTCCCAGCTTTCCTAGCAATCTGCCCCTTCCCACAGCTAATTCTTTTCTTGTTGAGACATTTTAGCAGCAGCAAGCCATCAAGCTCAGGAGAAATTAAACCCTTCTTGTTTTCCTAATCCCATGCCATGACATTACACCTACCAGAAGTCAGGTGCTCTTTGTGAAAGAATGAAATCAGAGTGACAGAGCTCCCTTGGGATGCAGCAGTGCCAGGCCTACAAAGAATGGGGGCCAGCCCTGATGGAGGCGGGGGTGGCCACGTGCTCTCAACAAAGAAGCTGCCCCCACTTCCTTCCGAAAGCTCCCATGGTGTTCACACCCGTGGTGGCCCTGACCAAATTGTTCCTCCCATGCTTCAGTCCCTGGAGAAAACAGGCTGATTAGCAGCCCCCGCCAGCCTTTGTTCCCATGCTTTCTGCATTGGGGGTGGAAGGTGTGGGGCAGTGAGTTCTTTGCTGGCTCTGCCATCTTCTCTGCATGGCTTCTCCTCAGGAATGTTTTTTGAAATGGTGTATTCTCATTCTCTCCCCTGTTCTGGCAACCTCCCTTCTGCTTCATTCTCCCAGCAATTATGTCTTTTAACTTCCTCTCAGGTGCACCCCAAGAGAGCACGGCTCTGTTGATTTACTCCCAGGGTCCAGCAGAGAAGGCGTTGACTCAGGTTTGTTGAATGGATGACAATGTGAATAAGTAAGTGGCCAGCCTCTCCCCAAGTTAATCCTTCTGATCTGTCCCTTTTCTGGCCCTCATAAAAGAACCCAGGAGCAGGGAAAAGGGAGCTGAGTTTAAAGCATCCTGGCGAAAGGGTGATAGAAGAGGAGTAATAAAGAGTGCAATTTTTAAAGTGTCCTGTAAAGTGACACTGCAAAAATTGCCTCATGCTCAAACTTAAAGGTTTTTATGTTATCTGCAGTTCACAGATGAGGAAAGTAAGGCCCAAAGGGGTGAAATCTCTTATAAGATCATGTTCTGGTTGATGGCAGAGTTAGAAGTTTAACCTAAGACTATATGACTCTGGGGTTGTATCTCTTGAATTTGACCCTGTTGGTTAAAGAGTAAGTTTCAGAAGGAAGAAACAGTGCTTCTTCATCTTTTTATCTTCTGTAGTGCCCAGCATAGTGCCTGGGCACCCAAGAAATGTGCATTGAATTTGGAAATAGAAGCAGTCTTGCATTCATTTATTCATTCAACAAATATTTGTCAAATGACTGTTATGAGTCAGATACTCTTCTGGGCACCGGAGACATAGGAGTGAACAAATATATTCTAGTGGGAAACACAAACAATTAATTAAGTAACTGATATGGTGTGACAGATGGTGAGAAGCACTAAGGAAGAAAATAAAGCAAAGCAGTTGGACAGGAAGGGTCAGGGAAGAGGGCTTCAAATTTGGGGCAAAGAAGGGGACAATCACCAAGAGTGAAGGAGTGAGGGAATGAACCTCGTGGAGATGTTGGGGAGGAACATTCTAAGAAGAAGCCAGAATAAATGCAATGGTACTGAGGCTACATCAACACTGACCTGCTGGACAACACCTGGGAGGCTAAGCTGGCCAGAAAGGAATGAGAAGGAGGAGAGAAGTAAAAGGTGAGGAGGTGCAGATTGTAATGACCTTGACCTGACCTTTACTCTAAATAGGGGGTGAGGGAACTCTGGGAGATTGTGAGAAGAGTAGTGACAGGCTCTGACATAATTTAACAGATTGCTCTGGATGTGCATGAAGAATAGATGTTAAAGGAAAAGGGAAGAAGCAGGAAGTCCAGTTACAAGACTCTTGGGATAATCTGAGCAAACTACCGTGATCACACAGGTAAGGATGGTTGTGGTACTGGTGGTGAGATGTGGCTGGATTATGGATATGTTCTGAAGGTAAATTTTGAAGATGTACTTGATGGGGGCTATGAGAGCAAGAGAAAAAGCCAATAATGACTCCACAGTTTTAGCTGAATAATTTGAAGAGTGGAAGTGACATTGACTGAAAGACTGCTGGGAAAACAAGTTTTATGGGGGAAGATTAAAGATACTAATTTAGCTCATGGTAAGTTTGAGATTCCCGTTTGTTTTTTTAAGTGGAAAATGTCAAGTGTAGGGGTAAGGGGAAAACCAGGAAGAGTGTGGGATCCTGAAACACAATGAATGTTGGGGTAGGATTTGACTCACCATGGCCAAGGCCACTGGGCAAAACTGCTATTGAATTTAGCCATGTGGAGGTCTGTGGCCATCTGCACTAGGGGTTTTCGTGGAGGAACAGGAGTTACACACTGAAAAAAGGACTTTCAGGAAAGTAGAGAGAAAAGAAGTTGGAGATGAGTATAGGCAAATCTTTTCCATAGCGTTGCTATCAAGGACATGAGAGAAATGGTAGCTAGAGGGGAGAAGTGGAATCAAGAGAACACTTCTGTTTGTTAATGGGAAAATTCTAATATATGTAGGAAAGCTGGTATGAAAAACAGAAATAGAGAGAGAGAAAGGGAAAGGGACTGGGGAAGATGTTTGAAGCAGTGCTTAAGAGAGGCCTAAAGAGGGTGGGATTGAATGCACAAGAGGAACCATATTCTCCCAGCAACAGGAAAAAAGGTATTGTTAGTTGGGTCAGTAGCTTGTGAAGATCTTTTCTGACTGCTTTAATTTTCTCAGTTATTAGCTGAGAATAAGGGGAGTAGGAGGAATGAAATGCTGGGCACAGAGGAGAAGGTGTGATGTGGTCTGCAGGACAATCGGAGGGATGAATGGATTTTTGAAATAATGCCAGATTGCACTGATGGGTCACTTGAGACTTGAGGGCGAAAAAGAAAAAAAAAAAAAGATCAAGGAGCAAGGTCTTCAAGGCAAGCTAAGCCTCTAAGAGGAAAATAGATTATGGAAAGCCTGGAACATGGGGATTTTAAAAAGGCTTAGAATGGAAATGTTCTTACCTCATGTGGTCCATACTGTTGGAGGCTTCCGCCCTCATTAAATTCAGTCAAGACATCCTTTATTTTCTTGGAGGAATCTGGAGAGACACAATCCACATATGAAACTCTTGTGAGCAGCTAATGAAAACTGAGCCAAGTAAATTCTCTCTGTCTAAGCATGGTTATGATGGAGCAGCCCTCATTCCCAGGACGAGATGGACACACATCCCTTATTCAACCTTCTGCCCTCTCATTTCTTATGTTTTTTTAGTTTGTTCTCTCCTCTGATGTCTGAACTATCTTTCTGAACTTTTCTTTCTAAAACGGAAACAGTGAATTTCCCTTTTCCCAGGATAAAGCCTAACCCCCTTAGCTTGAGTTCAGCACTTGGTGATGTGCTCAAGCCTAATCCTTGTCTCCCATTCAGCCTACTTTTCAGTCACCTCTAATCACATTTTCAGAAATCTCTGAATGTACTGGGTACTTTCAAGGTCTTACTTCTCTTTCTTGCAAACTCAATTTTCAATATCCGGTTCACAGGTCTACTTATTTGTAAGGTCTTTCTTTGCACTAGTCAGAGTAATCATTCCCTCCTTCAGATCCCCCATAACTTGTACACAATTGTGTAATAGCACTTAAAGTATTATAACTATAAACTTATCTTGTTCATCTGTTGCCTAGTTTTACTTTGGGAGCTTCAGTTGGCTGGCGTCTTTATATGTCAGACCAAGATCTAAAATATAACCAATGTTCAGAAAAACAATATATAGATGAGTATACAATCATTTGAGTGGAGATTTTAAAACACTAAAAACTTTGCTAATTTTAAAGGATGGCCCTTTGGCTCTGTCCTTGGTGCTGAAACATCATTATACATTAGGGCATGTTGGTTTCTTCTGATTCTGGGATCCTAATATCTCTACCTTTTTTTTCTTGATTTTTATTTTCTATCTCGATGGGGGCGGGGTTTGAGCTATTCATCCTGACACAAATACATAACCTCAATTATGTTTCATAATTAGCATGGCTTATTTAATATTCTTATGGCAGTTCTATTATATTTCTGATAGCTGAAACTTTTTCCTCTGGGAGTTAAGCCTTCCCCTGCTCCTCATTCTTTCCCCTCAGTATCCCCTATATATTATATATATTGAATTGAAAGAGTACAAAAAAATAAAGAAAAAAGACTTAGATTATTCAGGAATCATGGTAAGTGAGAAAATTCTGCTTTCTACAGGAAATAATTCAGAAACTACTGGAGACTTCTTTGGGGAGGTCTATAAAGGAATTGGGAGTCAAGAAAAGGGATTCAATAACTGTCATTAAAAACACATTGTGAGTGCATCCCATATAGTTATCAGCACTTTAGATATCAAAGAAAACCAGGGTTTTCTATGACCTGCTTCCTCTGTCTCCAAGTATTGTGGATAATTAAGAGCTTCTCAAGCTCCATTATTGCTGCTATTTAAACATCTGAGCAAAGGACAATGTCATTAAAAGCTCACACAGTGTTCCTTGTTGTTTGGGCTCTTTGTACAGAGAATTATGGTCTTGTGGGCCTAAGTAAAGTAGACATACTTGTAGGCTGGGCTTTCACCCTGGTTTTGCTGACTTGGATTCTATCAAGCAGAAGTTATAATCATTGCAGTATTGAGACATTTGAAATGCCACAGGAAAATGCTGCTGTTGTCTAAAAATGGAAATTTCTTTCTGAAATTCAAAACAGATGTTGAAAAACTAATAGCTCAGTAAGATCCTGGCAGCAGATGCCAACAATTTGGGTTGCTTCCATTCAACTCAGAAATCACTATGGAATGTCAGATGCTATAAGGTACTGTTAATGAACTAGTGGGAAGAGGATCTGAATAACCATGATGATATTAGCTACTCCTTATTGAGGATATTTACCTGTGTATTCTCATAAGATATCCCCTACTAATCCACACAAATTTGGTAATTTTTTTTCAGTTTATAAATGAGGGAGTTGAAATTCAGAGAAATTAAGTGATTTGCCCAAGAGCCAGAGTTTTAGCTCAGGTCTTCTCCTGCTCAAAGTCTATATTCTTTTCCCTTATATGTCATTCACTATGGCTTTCCAAGTAATTTTTAACAAAACAAAAAGTATAATTAATGCTGTAGAAAGGATATGAAGCTCCATGAAACACAGAGCAAGAAAGTAGTAAAATTAAGATTGAGGCCGAGACTGAGTCTGTCTTCTCAAAAGGATAGCATTTGAGCTGGGGCATAAAGAATGAGTCAAGTTTTGAAAGGCAGACATAAAGTGGAAGGAGTATTCTCAGAAGAGACAGAACAAGCAATTGATGCAGTTGTTTTGGGCACCTCAGAACATTTTTAAAAAGTTAGAATCAGATAACATTTTAGGGCCAGCTTTATAGGGATCTTTAATGCTGAGTTAAGGTTATTGATTTGAATTGTTAAAAGATTTTTTTGGATTGTGGAATAACATAACAAGGTCCTTGTTTTCTACAGGCCACTCAGGAATCAGAATGGAAGAGAGGGGGCTGGGGATGTGGCTCAAGCGGTAGCGCGCTTGCCTAGCATGCGTGCGGCCCGGGTTCGATCCTCAGCAGCACCACATACCAACAAAGATGTTGTGTCCGCCAAAAACTAAGAAAAAATAAATAAATGTTAAAATTCTCTCTCTCTCTCTCTGTCCCCCTCTCTCACTCTCTCTTTAAAAAAAAAAAAAAAAAAAAAAAAAAAAAAGAATGGAAGAGAGTTCAGAATTAGGTCAGAGCTCAGTTCCATGCTATGTATATTCTAATTATTCTACAAGCTGTTAGACTATTTAGAAACACCCCCCCACTCACATATTTTAGAATCTATTTTAATGGGAGGTTTTCAGTTCAACCAAAGTGATCAGATTTCAAAAATGCAAATTTGAGCACATAAGAACCCTGGTATTCTTTCTGCAATAGTAGTATAAAGTGAGCATTTCCGTCTAAGAACCAAGGGAGTGATTTCAATAGAACTTATACTCTTTTGATGTTATCATCACATTTATCACATCACATTTGGGAGATTCTACAGTTCACCCCAGCAAAAATCATTTGGCCCTAGAGTGCTATGACCCTATTTTTAAAAATACTGCTTTATATTTAGTTAGGATATGTATAGACATACATATTTATCAAATTTGCATTTAACAAGAGATTTTAAAAAGAAAAAAACTGAAGTCATTTATTCTAAGATATCGATGAATAGTCTAAAATTTTTTTAAAAAAAACAATACAATCCAAAAGATTTCTGACTAAATTTCTATGAAGGATATTCCTCATCATGATTTACCTCAATTTGTTTTATGGGCTTTTATAGGCTTTTTTTTTTTTTTTTTCAAAAAAAAAAAAACCCTAATTCTCAAATTTGAAACTCGTTACTTTCTCTTTGGATGTCCCCTGATATTTTATGGCAGTTTTCTTCTCAGAGGGTTTCTGGGCTGGGTTTCTCTTTCCATGAGGAGTGAGTGGGTATTATGCATGACTAATCCACTTCCATGATCACTGCTCCATTCTGTTTCATCTTAAGACAGTGAAGAACTTCTTTGGAGCATTCTCTGATCTTATTTCAGGTTCCTAGTAGCTAACCTCAGTAGAGAACTCTGTGGTCAAACCCTGTATCATGAGGCTACCACCAGACTCAGAGGACACTGAGTTCCATTTCTGAGTATACAAAACAAGGCCATGGCCACCATTATTTGTAACAACTCCCATTTTGTTGAGTGCTTATTATATACCAGGCACTGACCTAGTAGCCTTAATATTTTTTTTAAAGAGAGAGAGAGAATTTTAATATTTATTATTATTATTTTTTTTAGTTTTCGGCGGACACAACATCTTTGTTTTGTATTGGTGTTGAGGATAGAACCCGGGCCGCATGCATGCCAGGCGAGCGCGCTACCGCTTGAGCTACATCCCCAGCCCAATATTTTATTTAAATCTCTATAACTCCCCTTTAATGTAACAATTATCCTCAATTTAGAGAAGAGAATTAGCCCTCTTTTAGAGAGGAGAAAATTGAGGTTTGTGGGATTCAAGTGATTCCTTCAAGAGATCAAAGCTAGTGAGTGAGTCACTCTTATTTTTAAATATCTGAATAATATGACACAGCTATGAGATTCACTGGATACACAAACACTGGCAAATCAGAAGACAAGACCCTTCCTCTGTGACAGTTACCCTCAAGCCTGACTGTGTGTTGTAATCAGATGGGAAACTCTGTACACACTGAAACTCAGGCCTCACCCTAAGCCAATTAAGCCAACATCTATTGGAAAACCTAGGAATTCATACATATTAAACCTTCCTGTGGGATTCAAATGTTCAAAGTTGAGAACTTCGGCTCTCTGATGTGATTTTATTCTTAATAAGCAAAGACTGTCTTAAGAAGCAGCTGAACTTGTTGAATAATTATTGCCAAAAAAAAAAGAGCACATACTCCAGCAAATCTAAAATTGCTATGCATGGCAGACATGCTCCATTGTTTAAGAAAACACTAAAGAATTACACCCAATAGGTCAACTTATTCACCTGGTTGACAAAGCAGGGGTATGTTTTGCATTAACCATCAATCCATAGTTCTACCTCAAATCTGTTGTTTAGAAGGCTCTTTTCTGTGAAGGTTGCTAGTGGTAACAACTGCACTAAGTTGTTCAATCCAAAATTATTTATTTATGCTCTATGTACCGAGAACTCTGGGTCCTTAATCAAGCATTTGTTCCTAGCATTTGAGCAAGTTCAAAGCCTATATAAGTGAGAAAGACGAAGAGGGGGAGGGAGAAGGGGATGGAACTGGGAACTGAAATGGAGTAAATCAAATTCCATGCACGTATGATTTTGTCAAAATGAACCCAACTATTATGCATAACTATAATGTTCTAAACATTTAAAAACCTATATAAGGAAAAAATTTGGCTCTTCTCACAAACAGTTGAGGATGCCATGTTGGTATGGGGCAGAAATGCCCTCCATATAAACAGACAAATCAGAGATTTGTGTTCATAGAAGAGCATCAGCTGTGCTGTCTGGACCAGAACCCAGAGTTTTATACATTGTCTTCCAGTTAAGAACACTTGAGTATT